ATACAGATTTAGTTAACCTGCAGGATGATTTTTAGGTTGAGGAATTTTCATCCTTGTATTTAGTACATAAGGGTATATAGAAGACTCCTGTATATTCTTCTTGTTTTAATTTTTTTTTTTTTAAAAAAAGATTATTAGCCCTATGGTAATATATTGTACAATATAATTTCCTTCGTCTATATGATTTGCATAGAAGGTTGTTATGAGCCAAACTATCTGCAAAACCCTAACCCTACCTAATACTTCCATAATATTTTAGTTTTTGAACCACCATACTTAATTTTAAATTTCACTAGAATTGATGAAATTTAAAATACAGTATTTTAATTTTATTTGAAAGTAAGCATTGAAATTTTATCTTAGAATCACTTCAAATATGAAAATCAAGATTTATAAATAGAGTTAATAATTTTTTGAGAGAGAATTTGTTGCAAGCAAACCATAAACTCTTGTTGAAACATGCAAAAGTTGAATGTTTTGATTTGTTGAATTTATTTAGTTTGGTCAAATTAGATATCCAAATGATATGGTTAGGTTAGAGTCTCTACAAACACTGTACCTAATAATGATGAGAAATTTAAATATATACATAGAGAGAGAGAAGTCATGCATTATCTTTTAAAGAAAAAAGAATTAGGTGTATATATATATATATATATATATATATGTATATAAAGTAGTAATTTTTTATTTAATTTTATATCTCAACTGATGGACCAAAACATGTGCTTAGTCTACTTTAATGATAGTTTCTCCCAAAATTTATACATTGCAAGCACCCACAAGATTTGATTCTAACTCTGAAAATGGATCTCCATGTTACCTAACAAAACCATGAAACTATACAAAACCTCCAAGCAAAAACTATTTTCTTATTCACTTATCTTGGCAGAATTCCTGTCTTTCCGAAAACATTCCTCTGCATCAATCTTTTCTTCTTGACACAAAAACCTAAATCTCTTTTCATGCCATCAATCTGAGGATAGGCAAAATTTTAGAAACTATAGTGAAAATTGGACCTGAAAACTTCCTTTGACGCTCTCCAAGCTTCTGCAGCCAGGCATCAACTTGAAGGATCGGGCCTGCTGCCTGAACTGTACCTGTTTGAATTATTAGCCAAACACGTAGAATGCATTATTACTGTTATCCAATCAATCTTGCTTTCACCAACAGGTCAAGCATGTTGTTGGGATCTTAAAGCAACAGCATATCCTTATTAACTAACTTAAACCATAGGAATATGAATGTTATACATACATCAATAATGGACGTCTCTAGGATTTTCCAAAACATATGAATTCTATCAACTTATAAACTTGCATAAGATAACAACATAAGCCCAACACACATTTGTATCATAAATGCTCATAGATCTTCTTCACCTTCCATCCTAGGTCCTAGATCAAGATATCAATTCCTGTAGTTACTAATTTATAAACGACCAGCTCTTAGAAAAGGGACAACGAATAATCATTTCTGTGAAATGATATTATCCGCGGAACCTGCAGTATTTTCAAATCTTTACAAGCACTAAAAAAGAGTATATCAGAAAAGTCACGAGTACGAAAATATTGGAGAAGACATACAGATGTTGCTTCCCAGAATTTGCTCCACACCTGCATCCAAAATACCCACGGAGAACAGAAAACAAACATAAGGTACAAATTAGGGAGAACACTGAGATATTTGCAACAATTTATCAAGAACCTCAAGATTATGCTATCCATATCAGCAAGTGATGATTCCTGATAGTAGCGTGTATCCATTTATTTCAATCAAGAGCATTGCACACCATAAAGAGCAAGAGCATACTTCCTCTTCTGGCTGATTCTGTAATGCATTGTTTACTGTTGAGATATTGTCCTCCAAGGAGAATAACTATTATGAAATATGAATCAAGAATTAGAATGAAGTAAGAAAGATGGCTTCCAACCAAATCAGAACTGGACAATGCCTTACCAGTGCAGAAAAAGCAACAATATGAGAGGCAGCTATACATGTGCAACTATTTTTTGATTCTCTTCTTTATCGAAAGGCTCCAGAGTTGCATGCTCCATTTATAAAATGATGAAACCTACTAGCGTCCTCACTGCTTGTCCCTCTTTGTAATGCCAGTAATGAATCTTATGGCCAAATGACACCACTACAATTCACAAATTCTTAGTGACTAGAATAGGCTTGGTAGCCCTTAGAGCGAGAATTCCAAATGCAATTGCTAGCTTCTCACAGCGATAAATAAAAATCCACTCTTTTTGCTTCGCTTCAAAGAAAACTAGATTCTGCATGATGACCCATTTTTTCCATCTGCACTAGTAGTTCATACAACTCCTTGTTTATTTGCCCTGATTGTAGGTGGGTTTGATCTCCACCAAGAAACACGTGAACACCCCTGTTTATCTCCACCCAACTACATCCTGGGCTTTTCTTAAACCCTTGTTCCTTCTGCATTATTCTAACATGTGCAGCATCATCCCATCTCCCAGCAGCACTATATATATTAGATAGCTGAACACAATTCCCGGTTCCTTCAGGACCTAAGCTCTCTATCTTCTTCGAAACTTCATCCCCAAATTCAATATTTCCATGTACCCTGCTAGCAGCAAGAAGTGCACCCCACACACAAATATCAGGCTCAAGTGGCATATTTTTAATGAAATCATGCGCTTCATCCAAAAGTCCAGCCCGGCCAAGAAGATCAGTCATGCATATGAAATGATCTATCCTTGGGTTGACATCAAAATCTTGACTCATTGCACTAAACCAGCGTTTCCCTTCCTCAACAAGTCCTGAATGGCTACAAGCAGATAGGAGACAAAGAAAAGTCACATCATCTGGTTTTAAACCTGTGACCTGCATATTATGGAACAGCAAAAGAGCTTCATTGCCAAGTCCATGAATTCCATAACCAAATATTATTGCATTCCACGAGACAGTGTCCCGCTTATGCATCCTATCAAAAACTTCCCTAGCTATAGAGATATTTCCACACTTCGAGTACATGTCAATAAGAGCATTACAAATTGGTGTATCAACCGTGAAGCCACAGATAATTGAGTAGCTATGGCAACAAAACCCATAGTGTAGAGCAGCCAATTGTGAACAAGCTGGCAGAACACCCAGCATGGTTACTGAATCTGGCTTAATACCAGAGGACTGCATCTTATGGAAGAACCCAAAAGCCTCTTCTGCATTACCATTCTGTACGCAACCGGAGATAATAGCACTATAGGAGACAGTGTCTTTGACATTCATTTCATCAAAATGCCTGATTACATCATCTATGATCCCACATTTTGCATATAGAGAAAGCAGTGTGTTGCTCACCATCAGATGAAGAACAAAACCTGTTTTTATCCCATAACCATGCAAGCATCTCCCTCCATTGAGATCATTAAACTTTGCACAACCTCTAAGAATAATCCCTAGAGTCACTGATGATAGAATTCTTACATTCATCTGATTAAAAATTTTTACTGCATCTCTCATCATATCTGACATAACATAACCTCCAATCATGGCAGTACAAGTTACCTCATTGTATAAACCCATCATATCAAAAATCTTTCGGGCATAAACAATGCACTTACATTTGGCGTACATATCCAAAATGGAAGTTCTAACAACCACGTCATTCTCATCAAACCTCATTCTCACACAGTAACCATGCAAGGCTTTTCCATCCCTCAACTCATTTTCATGAGCAAGTACTGGAAGAAGAGCAACTATGGTGGACGCATTTGGTCTAAGTCCACCCGTTTTTTGCATATCAAGAAACAACCGAATTGCGTGGTTATACATCCCATGAAGTGAAAAACCTGCAACCATTGCATTCCATGCAACAACATCTCGACAAGGCATTCTATCGAACACTTCAAGGGCATTAATCAAATCGCAACATTTACAGTACATATCGAGCAATGCAGTGGAAACATAAACATCGGACTCTAAACCGAGTTGCTTAGCATGATCATGCACCCTTTTACCGTCTTCCACAGATTGCAACCCTGAACAAGCTTTGAGGACAAATGGGAACGAGAACTTGGTGGGTTTAACCCCAGATTCGAGCATCTTGTAGTAGAAATCGATAGCTTGCTCCACGGGTCCGTTCCATGCATACGCTCTGATCATCAAGTCCCACGAGACAACACTTGGTTTTGGAATTGTATTGAACACGCGGCGAGCAAGCTCAACCTCGTTGCATGCCACGTACAATTTGGTTAGCTTTTCGAGAAGAGTAGGATTATCTCGGTGGAGCAAATGATGCCTGAGAAAGTGTTGATGGATTTTCTTGGCTTGTGTTAGTGACTTCGATTGAATGCAAGATTCAACAAGCTGCGTGAAACAAGCAGCCATGCAAGAGCCAAACTATACTTTTATCACAGAGGAAGCAACCGACACTGCACCGCTGCAGTGGACAAGCGGAGATTAGAGCGGCCGCCTAGTACCCGCTGCATCATGTGGGTCCGAGTAAGATGTGGCGAAGAGAATGAGCACAGAGGTAGAGGGGTGGGTCAACAGTGGGGCATAAAGTACGCAATTTTATATTTGAAAAAAATTCAAAAATCTTTCTGAGATTTTATTTTTTCTTATTTAGCAGAATGACCTTTTTGACAAGATAAGATTTCGTCCATTCATACCCTCCCCTCCTCCTCTCTCTCTCTCTCTCTCTCTCTCTCTCTCTCTCGTGCTCCCGTGTCTTCCATGGCAACTTCCTTTCATCTCTTTAACAGCCCTGTTAATGTTAAAGGTGACTACTTTATGCTCCTCTCCTTCTACGTTTCTTCTTCTTATTGTCTCATCTCTGCTCTGTTTTCAACTTGCAACTTCTGCAGGAAAGCTGCCTATGATACCCAAGAAACTCTATACATGTATGCCTGTAAGTACCCATCTCGAGTTCCTTATCCTGCAGACTTCTTCTCCACCTAATCTACCCCTTTGGATTGTTGATTTCTTGTCTCCGTTATTTCAGTTTTTCGCGTGGAATGGTAGCTATATCATGCAAATTCCCTTTTCCTTTCTGATTTATGAACTGGGTAAATCAAAATTGAGGATATGGAATTTAAATTGTTTTGTTAAATGCTTTAGTATTGGGAAAAATTTTAGGATTCTAAACCAGCATGGTAATGTCTGTGAAGAATGCCCACTTCCCAAATTAGGCTAACACCTTAGAGTTGATGTTAGAAGTAGTTTAAGCAGCTGGGGTTTCTCCAAAATGCCACAAAAATTGAAATTCATTTACCATGTATGTGACCTTGAGGTGTCTATATGAATTCCATCGTACTAATCTGTACCTTACCAATATACACACAACCACATATATATACATGGTTGTGCTTCACCTGCCCGTACTTTTTTTCTTATAAGGTCAAATTTTTTGGGTCATTTGTACATATATATGGTTTTACAGTCAATAGAAGAAACTTGTTTTTAAGCAGAATATTGCATTGTGGGACTACCGTAACCTTGAAAGAGATTTCTTGTATTTACATTGCTTTTATGTGTCTGCTAGTTGAAATGTAGCTGATCCCATAAAATAGCTCATTTCCTGCTCAAAGGATTGTGACAGTTTTTGTTGGTCTTATGGGAAAGAAGCTCTAAAAACTAGCAACAGCAACAAAAACTGTTTTAGATCATGTTTGTACAACATGCAGCTGGATTTTCTTATGTTTATTGCATTAGGTGCAGCATGGTAGGCTCATAATAGCTATTTGAAGATCTGAATACAAGGTTCTTCCTCTTTTTGTTTCTTATTCCTGGAAAACATAGTGATCTTAGATTTTGTTGGCTTACTGGAAAAATCTGGAGCTTTTTACATCCTAGGAAGCTGCTATGATAGGGAATGCATAGATTAAGAAGTAGGTTTTGAGCTGTCGAAAAATAACATGCATCAACTGATATCTGGGGTTAAAGGATTTTCTTATGGTGAATTTCGGCTCAGACAAGGGTTCTCAATATTCATAAATTTGCTACATGCTGGAGATGAAACAACAGTAGAAGTCACAATGCACTCTTTTAGGTAAAAGAAAACATAGTTAAATTTGATTTATGTTAGATATCACTCTAGAAATGAGCATTCATTGTAACAAGCAGCTGTCTTATTCAGATCAAAATTGATTTTGAATTGGCATGGTGAAAGGAAATTTGAACTTTCAGGCAACACCATAATGGCCTCGGTATCTATGTGTTGTTTGCCCCTTGACAAGTTTAGTATGACATGAATAATGGCTCACTGTCATCTTTTTCTGGAAACTGCTTGGTTTGAAAAAAAATTTGATGTTGAAGTCTGATCAGTCCTTATTACATTTAAAAGCAAAATGATGATAGAACTAGGTATCTCTAACTGCCATCTTGGTTGTAAGTTGTCAAGAATCTATAGATATATAAGTATCTGGTTTTAATTGATGAACACCAGATAGATCATATTCCAAATAAAAACTTTCACTTGACAATAAAGTTTGCCGCCAAAAGTTCCAAATCAAACACCATTTTCCAGTCTACTTGTGTGCTATAAATCATTCGCTAGAGATTGTGAGACTTCATGCTTGCTACTGCATCATTGAATGAGGTAATGCTAATTTTATTTTATCTTCAGTCATTAGCCTTCCTACATTATTGTATAGATTTGATGAATAGTGAGTTAATTATCTGTTTTTGGATTCATCCAACCTTTGCATGTCTATTTGCCTGTTTGCAAGTGGGAGGAAGACTAATAGAGAAAGAGGAAGAGAATATATTTTAAGCAATACTTAGATGCTATAGAATGAAAAGTTGAAACACCCAAAGCAACCAAATGACCGAGCTTTGGGTATTTCAAGTTCAATTTAGGCATCCACTGATTCAAATTTTCCTAGTCACCTACTTTTGAAAGGCAACGATGCAGTAGCTTTGTTAAGTTTTTGTCTTGTCTCTCAACTCTCATATCTCTATCTTGCCTATCTTGTTGCAGGGAATATTAAAGCATCCACCTGGGCAAAATCCAGGTTGTGGCTCTCAAGTCATAAATTATCGTCCATACTTCCTCGTGGCTGCAGCATCATTTAACCTTGAGCCTGGACCATCATATGCTGTTTCAAGCAGCATGCCCGATGTTTCAAGGATATTGGAGCTTAACATGCCAAGTAAAATAGAGGCTGTTTTAGATTTCATACAAAATATAATGATAGCAGATTTGGACCCTGCAACAGCAAAATCAATAATTGGTATATTAGGGCCTTTGCTCTCAGCATTTGCCTTTCTCTTTATACTGAGAATAGTTATGTCTTGGTACCCAAAACTTCCTGTAGGGAAATTCCCTTATGTTATAGCATATGCACCAACAGAACCACTTCTTGTGCCCACCAGGAAATTAATACCACCTGTTGGAGGAGTAGATGTAACTCCTGTGGTTTGGTTTGGATTGCTTAGTTTCCTCAATGAAATATTGCTGGGTCCTCAAGGGCTTCTTGTCCTTATCTCTCAAAAAGTTAGCTGAGAATTTACTTGAAACATGCATTAGGAACCTTTACCTATATTGTACATGATTTATTCCATTTGTTATAAACAAGTGATTGAATATCGTGGTCGAAGTGACTGAATTTTTTATCTGTCATAAATTTTTTTTCAGTGAAGTCAGAGATTCATTTATTTAGTGAATCTATGTTATGAAAATTGCTTAAAGTACTTGCTAAGTGAATCTATGTTATAAAAGTTGTTTATAGTACTTGCTATAATTTATTGCTTAACCTTGTAGGATAGATAATGAACTCATCACTTGAATCTTTTCAGTGTTTGTCTATGCATGGAAGAGATATCTATTCAACGTTCAAAAGCTCATAAAAGTCAAAACAAAATCTCAGGGTTTGCATCCTGTTCTCACCTTCGATTTTTCATAACATGCAATTTTCTCAACCAGTCAGCTATTCAGTCTCATGTTGCCATTAAAAATTCTGTCAAATTCTTTAAAGCTCTCCTGTGAATTTTCATTTTTATTGTTATTGAAAGATTTAATAAAATATAGTATGAAAAGTAATGATAGAATTTAAGCTTGTCCTGGAAATAATATATATATATATGTGTGTGTGTGCAATTACTAGTCATGCAATGTGTCTCCATGAAAGAGTTCTTTAATTTCTTTGATGGAACATTGCCTGCCTATTCTGGACCACAGATATTAGAACTAGACAAAGTGGGCAGTTAACAACAAACAAACTACAGAGAAAATAGAAAAAATTATTTGTTTCACAAAGACATCTCCAATATGAGAGCCTGTCATGTTGTATCATTGTACCCAAGAATGTAATATCGTAACAAAGACACCACATACTTCTCACTTAAATATCAGCCATGAGAAAGTTCCCCGATAAAGTCACCTGCGGAAAGAAATTTATTTATTTATACTATATATGTTCTGAAAAGTACATTAGGAGCAAGAGCTTAAGAGTTACATTAATAAAAGTACCTTCTCTCCTAATTTAAATGGTGCGAGACCCTTATAAGGGCATGTGCTGCAACGGAAAGCATCTCCGAGTCCACACTGCAATGTAATGATAGTTTCCAGTAAATAGGAAGAAGAAACAGAAATAACAAGATCAACTAGCCGTATATATAAATAATAAGTTTTACTCATATGCAATGATGTTTATGATATTCTAATGTACTCTATTCACAAACCAGAAGTCCAATTTCACAACATATATCTCACTTGTCTTGATCGAAATGGCAGCAGGACAAAATATTCAAGAGAAATCTATAAAACACACTACCAAAAAAGAAAAAAAAAATCCTTGCTACTATATATTGCTATTCCATGTGCTTGCTAATAGGCACCAGGAGTACCGAAGTAGATGGTCACCCTGTATTTATTGTTCATAACCATCCTCTTTAACTTCGATCAGAATCTAGCTATCTAGAGAGCCCTGCTGATCATTTGGTTAACTTGCAACTATTCTTTTTGTATATGGTGGCACCCGCTTAGTGTCTATTATAGGTTTTTTCTTCTGAGAAAAAAAAAAATTCCCACCAGAGAACATGAACTAATAAGTAAAAAAAAATAAGATACACAAAAACAGGACATACACTGCCACATGCTGATTGAGGATTATTTATCTGGTCCACAGTCAGTCCCAACTTCAGTACTTTCTCTTCTTCCTCAGCTCTCCCGCAAGTGCAATTCTTGCAAGCTTTCCTCGTGCTTCCTAGTTCACAATCACCAACTGCACAAGACTTATTTGTTTAATAAAACAAGACATAATTACTAAATAAATCTATAAGAGAAGGGAATCGACAGGCATGAGCTTTGAATTTCGCTGTCTTACCTGGTGGTAGCTGAGGCTTCTTCAAATCCTCTTCAGTTAAGAGACTATCTTCATCTATCAAATCTGAATCATCATCCAGCTGGAGTTTGAATGTACTTTTAGCTGGCTTCTTGATAGCAAAAGATGTTCCAACCTTCCAAGATGGTTTGGTAGCCTTAACCTATAAATAAAAAAGGAAAGCAACTGAAGCTGCTTGATTGTTAACTAAAAAGAATTTACTAAATAAAACCATAAGTTTGTTCATCAAACAGAGATAAGGAGTAAAGGTTTACACACCAACGTTCAAGAACCTTGAATTAACAAGCAGTAGAAAGCAAAAACTAAAAAAGAAAAGGAGATATTCTCTCACAGTAAGGGACAAGGAAAGATATAATTTAACACATATTCAATGAGAATTAACTCACCCCAGAAGATAGGTTTGATGCTTCTACAAACCCAGCCAATAACAACCTCCGCTGAAGAGCAGAGAGTACCTGCAAGAAAATCCTCATTAGAGGTCTTGAAAGGAAAAAATATATATATATACACAAGCAAAACCATGATCCTATCTTCCAGATCGCAAATATTAACCTTATTAAGTCCAGCTTCATCCACCAAATTATTGTACACAATGATTGTCCCGCCAGGCTTCAATACTCTTGAAATCCCTCCAAGTAATTGATCACTAGGAAATTCAGGTGATTTGCAGATGGAAATGACAATATCCGTAGAGGAAGGCTCCACAGGTAGCTCATCTGCCGTAGCCCAACAATTGGCATATCATGAGGATCATGAGAGAACTAAAATTTAAGAAATAACTATCTATTTCTATGTTTAAAGCGGTGAATAAGGACAAGAAATGCATCTGCAATAGAAGCTCGTATAATTAAATGAGAATCTTCATTCGCTTGTATCCTGTTCTCACTGAAGGACTAAATGAAAAGAAATCATCAGAATGGTGTGTACATCTCTTCACTACCCTCTTATTCACGCTCTAACTCACTGAAGAAAAACTTCTTCTTCCCTTGACTAGTTACAACTAAACACTAGCATCCAAAAACATATCAGCAACTAATCGTTCACATATACGCTTATGGCCATCCGATTCTTTTGGCTAATCTGGATGGGACCTTAATATTTTGAAAAGAGAAAACCATGAACTAACAAAAGACCAAGACTACCAAGTAGCCAAAATCTTAGCACACACTTCCACAAAGAAACAAGAACAACCTAGTCAGTTCAAGATTAGCCTATGAAATCTTAAACCCCTTGTCACCTGTACACTAGTTCTATTAGCCCAAAATTTGCACTTCCAACATCTACCTGTACACCCCATAAACAAATCACGCGTATGATTACTTATGCATTACAGTGTAACTACACATGTATATGCATTTGAATCCAAGTAAGATGAACTAGCACCTAAAAGACAACTTGATAAGACAATATCTCAAACATGTAACATGTGACTTACAGAACTAAAAGCAAGAGACATCAGAGGAAAAAATCACATAAATTTTATATTAGCAGATGGAACCAAATTGAAAATAAATGACTGCAAAAAGAAAAATATTACTCAGAGCTGCTGCTTGAGTGATAACTAGAGGATCAGACTGCTCAAGCCCTCTACTCCCAAACTCTTTAATAACATTGAATACAGCACTAACTTGTAGAACAACATCATCCGTAACTGCAACCACAGTAGTTAGCCCTGATGCTGAATCCTGTAAAATTTTTGAAGGCCATTTTTAGCATCCATTGAAACATATTACCAAAAAATAGAAAACCTTGAATTTAGATAAAAATAGAAGAACAAAAAATAATGTCAACGGGTAAAGAGGTTTCATAGCACAAAACATCTTAAATTGATAAAGAAGGTTTTATCGTAGTAGACATTCTATCTTTTTCTCAGAGCCTAAGGGGAATAATTAAAGCATTGAACAATAATAAGCAAAAATAATCAAGGGTTTGTGCACTTCCAACACAAATGAAACAAATTATTTGCTAGTGACCTAAGCACTTAGTACAGAGAAGGTAAAACGAGAAGAAAAATTAATTCAAGGAAACAAATAGAAATTCACAAATCCATTCGTGCTGCCATGAAAAAATTAAGAAAAAAAAAAAGAAAAGAAGTTAACCAAAAAAACTACTAAAAAATATTGCTTTAAGCATGAAGCAGATGGACATCAGAACTAATTCTTAGAAAACAAGAATTTAAAAGAAAATTAAAAAAGGAACTCACCATATCAAGAACTGAATTTCTTTTTTCCTTCAACTCTGGGATGAGCCTGAAATAAAGTCAATACCATGAATATTCTAGTTCCCAACACAAGTTCTCTTCACAACCAAAAATCACCAGAAATCATCCCAACACCATTCTTTAGGGTTAGAATTTACTGATATAATCAAACAACCATTTGTAAACACAGTGCTGACATTCAAAAAACTGAATTTCGAATTTAGCAGTACAGCATTCATTCAACAATCGTAGTAAAAGCTCAATGACCATAATCAGATTTTCTACATCATCATTCAGCTCTGCAAGAACCTCCATTACGAAATACAGACTATTTAATAAATCAAGCCGCCTACCCAATTATAGAGCAAACCAAAAGCATTCATCTAAAAACAGTAAATACATATATAATAGAGATGATCCAAGGTAAAATACTCATGAAATCTGCTTCAGCATCGAAATTGATTTAAGCACCCAAACTCAAAAAGCCAAGTCATATAAAATAGACGATGCCATATGATAAAACCAGCAGCTGAATAAACCCCTGCCTTGAAACACGCCAGGTCGGTGAAATAAAACCAGAGAATCTGTCAGGAGCGAGAATCGCGAGGTTACCTAAATCCGCCAGATAGAAGGAGAACTCGAACGAACAAATCTGTAGAAATTTTATTTTTTTAATTTTCTTAGTTTCTTCGCCGACTTTCTCCCTTAGAAGGAAAAGACGTGTTTGGTTTTCGCGAATCGCAGATTTAAACTGAGGCACGAGGGTTTGATGGTACGATCAGGTTTGACGTTACCACATGGAAAAAGAAATGCGAAATGACGTGGCACGCTGAAGTCTAAAACGACAATGGCAGTCTGCGTGGCACAGCTCCCACGAGTTTTGGGTTGGTCGACGTGTGTTGGAGAACGGGAGACTGCATGGATGCGGTGTCAAAACGACGCGTTTCGAGCCGACTGAGCACAAGTTGTCTTTTCTTCTAAGAAGAAGAAGACCGAGCACAATTATTCATTTAGCATATACACACAGATTATATATAAAGGGTAAAATAGAATTTTCATACTTGTATTATTTATTGTTTTTATTTAGTTTCTGTTTCGATTTTATGTTAATTTAAATTGTTTACTTTAAAAAATATTAAATTTAGCTATTCACTTTATATTATTAACATTAAAATAATATAGCATAAATTTATTAAATTTTATTTTATGTGAACTATCACATATTACTTAACATAAGAGTCATTTTAATTTAAATTGTTACGAATAGATCTAAGATTAATTTTAAAAAATTTAAATTTCGTAATTTACCTAAATCCCCAAACTCCTCCATGAGTCTTTCTTCTTCTTTCTCCCATGCTCACCAACAAATTCTGTCACGCACGTGGCCTCCTTCAACAATGGATAAGGGACCTTCACTTTCAATGAACTGCGGTCACCTCCATGTTCTTTTTCCTCACGCTTTAAAGACAATTTTTTAAATTTCTATCCGTTTAATTTGACTTATTTAAATCTGATTCAATATTTTTTATTTTTATTAAAATATTAATTCGATCAAGTTAAATTCAAATTTATCTTTTAAAACTTGTCCAAACTTAACTACTTACGTATACATATTTTTTATTTTATTATTATAAATATATTTATGTTTATATTAATAAATATAATCATTATATATATTAACAAATATGATTTAACATATGTTATTGTATATATATAAACAAAAACATTTTTAGTTTTATTAATATAGATATATTTATATTTATTTCAATGTAATAAAATAATTAAGTATTCGGGTCAAATAACACATAAGCTCAACACAATTTAAAAAAAAAAAAAAAATCAAGTTCAACTTTGTTCCTTATTGACATAGGCCAGATTCGGATTTAATAAAACTTATTTTGAAACGCTTCTTGTTTCCATCCCTATCCCACTATTCCACCTCCATCTTTATCATACATGGAATATTGGGATGAGGAAGAGAACGTATTATACAATATGATTTATATATATAATTATGTTTCTTAATATTGCAGTTGCATTATCATATTAAATAATAGAGTCGTGCAGCTAATAAACACACAATAACCTATAAAGAAAATGTTGAGAAGCGTTCACTCACGTACATCACCCACTGTGGAGGAGGTTGATCACATGAAACCTTTAAATTTGGATTTGTTCACTATTAGTGACCCATATGTTGAAAAAAAAGTCATCATAGACTTTTCCAATCCTAAACATTTTTCTCTACATCATTTCTTGCCAGATTACAAGCAACATTTTCTTTAAAAAACCTCTAAACCTTTCCCAGCCTCTTCTCAACCTCTAAGTATGTGTGTGATTGAGATGGGGGAGGAAAAATGAGAGAGAAAAGAATATGTGGAGGCGAACTTTGTTCACTATATTCGAAATTTGTTTATCATTGTTGAAGAAGGTCATGTAAAAGACAAAGTTGGGGGGTGAAAGGAAGCGTGGGAGGAAGAAGAGGAATGACTTTGGAAAGAGTTTGGCGATTTAGGTAAATTAGGAATTTTAGTTATTTATTTTTTTATTTATTCATTTAGATTGATTCAGATTACTCCAAATTAAAATAACCATCATGTTAGTTGTCATGTTAAATGATATATAGCATCTAATACAAAAAAAAAAAAAAAAAAAAAAAAACACTTAGTAAATTTACTTCACACATCAATTTTGATAACATATGGCATAAATGTTAACGATGTTAAATATTATAAATAGAGATAGACTAAATCCAATATTATAATTAAATTAACACAAAATTGGGGCACTGATCAAATCAAACAAAAATTAACAGTATAATGATAAAAAAAAAATGTATTTAAGCCTTATATATTTGAATATAATTCCTTTTTTAAAAAAAAACACATGCAAATACAATTTAAAAAATAAACAAAAAAAAGGAAGAACAATGAAAAATATATATTTATATTTATAAAAAAAAGTTAAATTATGAATCATACTGAAGAAATACGTGATGATAAAATTAAAACTATCCTATTAAGATTATACATCAAAACAAAAAATTCAAATGCAACAAGACTATTAATATGTTCACGAAAGCCTAAAATTATCTTACTTGGCAAATGTTTGGGCACATAATGTAACGGCCTTGGAAATTAAAAGGAAACGTATATATAAAAATTCTAAATGCGGAGGCGAAATAAAATATTATGATTAACATCAATTATACAATAACCAAAACGTATTAAACATATGAAAGAATTAACTAACTAAAGTAAATACTAGAAATGAATACTATAAGGAAAACTATAAAATCTTTATGCATCTACTCGCCGTCTTCCTGCGGAACGGGCTCGGGAACCAAGTGCTCCTGATCTGAAATGGTTAAGTAAGGAATGAGCTACACTATCCCAGTAAATATGTCACACTATCTCACTGTCACATAAGTAAAGGTTGGTAGAAAACAAAAACGACCAATGGAGCATAATTTAAAACAAATTCATTTATCAATAATAAAACCATTTACTGTCCACTTACCTCGGTGAGATTTATGAAAACAACTTATGAAAACAATAACATTATAATATCATGAAATCATACACACTCTGTAACATAACACATGTCATACTTTTAATATTTCAATCATCAAGCA